CATATATATATACTTTTATATAATGCTGCTTTGTCGAACAGATTGTGTGATTTCGGTTGGCAGATAGCGTTTGACGTAAGAGCAACAGATTTTTTCGGCAACATGTGCCGCAATTTTATTACCTTCGCCACACCCAAAAAAAAAAAAAAAACAGTGAAAGAATTTTTCTGTTTATCTACTGAAAGCATTGGGAACGAATTGTATGAGCATACGAAGCGGAAGTCCAGTCGACACAAATTTCCAATTAAATTTCCGTGTACATTTAAGCCCATCGAAAAGGTCGTCCATATATATAAAGAGCTCAATAAGAAAACCTTTTGTATTCTGAGTACTTTGGCTATAAATTTAATATTGTCCTGCACAGGGATAACGATAATAGCAACGTGCTGTTACGTATTTTGCAATATTTATATCTTTTCATTTAACACTAAAAATACATTTTCAGAAATATCGAATCTAGCATTTATGCATTCTTAATTATTAATACTAAGAAGCTAAGAAAATTATAAGCGCCTTATCCAATGGGCAACGAAATTGCCTGTTGCTAAAAATATCAGGAAAATGTAAGCTTCTAGCGGAATTAATTAATTGTATAAAAATATATTAAGCTGGAAATAAGAAGCGTGCCTAACCTTAGTCCGAAACTCCATCTCGAAGAATTTACAAATATCAAATAAAATATAATAGTTATAATAAAATGTTATTCAGAAATAAGCAAATTATTTACTGAATTTCAATCGATGGTTCTACTGTAATCTAAAATGAATCTATATATCGTCGCATTCCCGCGAAATGATCGTATGTCGAAAAATGTAATTTTACAGAAGCTTTTTTATTTATTTATTTATTTATTTCATATTTTTATTTTTTATTGTATGTTAGTATACATACGCTTAAATTGAAATCGATTTTCGTTTTCTAACCGTTCCTATCCGTTTTTTCCTATTTGCCGCACTATATTAAACATTTTGTTAAACTTAGCTGAATAGCTAAATATAAAAAATAAAAAAATCTTATTTAAAAAAAAAATAAAATAAAAACAAAAATTAAATTATAAAATATAAAAAATTCCATGAAAATCGAACATCTTATTAATGATAAGGGAAAAACGATAAGGAACACGAATTGTGTTCATGCCTACATACAGAAATTCTAGCTGTTGATTTTTTTTCAAGAATTGCCATTCCCTATGGAATTGTTTAAAATCATTTAAAGTCGACGTATTTGCAACGTGCCTTAAGATGAATTGAGCTCATTGAGCGTAAATAAATAAATCTTAACTTAAAATGTCAATGTTGCTTTGCTAAAATTCACCTGGGTCTATTAGGTTTTCCTAGAATACAAATGCAATAAAAGATTTTTGTACAACTGTCTATAAGAAAAGTTTTGCGAACTGGCAAATGTTATTATGAGGAACATCATTGCAAATATGAGAAACTAAGGGAATGTGAGAAAAATGAGATTTTACCTAAAACGTTATCATGATGTATGCTAGTGCTGTGCAATATAGTTGTTAACTAAAAATAGCTGAAAATTGACGCATATCAAGAGAGGAATCTGTGCGTGGATGCAGTGCCATACTGTGCTCCCCCTGATTGCATTGTGCAATATATTAACGTTGTCATGGCGGCAGCCCTCGCATTTCGCCGTAACTAGCACTCGCGCAGCCAAGGTTCAGGACGAGGGCGTGTCTCAGGTAACTAACTGGGCACAGTAAAGGCAACGCGAAGTGGCTAAGGCCGGCATATCAATTTACCCATAAATCAGCATTACATAAATCATGTTGAGTGTATAAACTAATTGGATTTGGCGCCTGCTTCGCATTTCTTTATTGACGCAATTGTTGACCCTGACATCGTGTTATTAAGCGTTAGCTACCTAATTACAGCACCTAGTCCTGCCACATAAATGCAAGCGTTTCGGACATAAAATAGCTGCTGCTTGAGCAACGAACAATGGATGCCAGTGATAACAGCGCAGGAGGTTAAGCAACAAGTAGAACTACTATATACAGAGACATAATAGCTGTCAATCCCAGACAACTGGCGAAATATTCCCCAATTCGCGTCACAATTCTTGGCCAGCTCAAGCTGATGGCTTTTGTTGTTGTTGCTGCTGTTGTTGTTAGTGAATGCTATGTTCGACATATCAGCATGTTAGGTTTGTTATACTTCTAAAGAAAAGTTGTTGCCCGTAGTTGTTGGCCTTGTGCCCGTTTGCCACATGCAACACAAAATGCTTGAAATATAACGCCCGGACAGTATGCAATGGAATTTTTTTGCGCGCCAGCCGGATGATGGCCGCCACAGTTGTAGCTGACTTTATAATGCTTTGTATAGCAAGCACGCGTCCCACACTCACCCACATACACACACACACACACATACACGTTCACACATACGCAGACATACTCACATGAACACCCAGTTAAGCAGTCACAATAATTAACAGCCCTTGACGATTGCAGCTTGTTTTAGCTGCTGGTTGTCTCTTTTGGGCTGCAAAACATGCCGACGCCGTCGGAACATAAAATAATTGATTTTTCACAGCAAACGACCAACTGACTTGACTGGCTTTTCTAATAAGTAAAGAGTACAGTGAAAGCTCGACGAGCGCACAGCTCCCTTGGGCATAGATCCCTTCGACTTGGTTGACGGAAATAGACGAATGCTGAATGTTATACAGTTTCGCTTAATTTCCGTAAAAACTCTGCCTATGATGAACTCTGATCAGTTTGTCTAAGGACAAAACATAGAGTGTGAACAGAACAACTTTCGTTATCAATATTTGGTATATTCCATTAACATGCAATTATTTCAATTAGATATATTTACGTTTTCGACACTTATTTGACATATGTGTGGGTGTCTCTAAATGGTATTCACTGTACTGTGTTGTGGCCACTGATTACTCACCGGTCCCAGATTCTCGAAGCCATACTTGTCGGCCAACTTGTGGGCAAAATCATTGTCAACGCCCCGACGGAAGCGCACCAGAAATGAGCTGGTGAAGACGGCATGATTAGGTTGACCGCCGTGGCCACGGGCAGCTGACTCCGATTCGGCGATAGCCAACGGCAGGAGCGTCGCCAGCGCCAGCATCCCGATGCATAGCAGTCGCCATGAAGCAGCAAAGCTCCATGCAGCTGCCACAATAAACATTTCACGCGTTTCGCCTCGCAGTCGTTGCTCGTGCTCCTAGTTTTTTTTTCGGCTCTTTTCCTTTGGACTCTATTTGCGGCTCAGTTAATAATTGCGACGATGGGGCAACGCTGGCGCCACAAATTCGTGCACACGATTTTGACTGACTTAAGCAGTAGCGGGAGTTTATGGAAGGTGAATAGCAAAAATAAAGACCGCGCTTCACTAAACACACAATTAGAAATCGTAAATTCTTTGTTATTGACAAATCGTTCAAGAGCCGGCAGCACTTGAAACTTATGCGCTGCGTAACTGCTTGGGCAATTAGCTCCACGTCGTTGAGTTAATATTTTGTCCCTTATTATACTGGTTCTCTATACAATTTGTTGTTGTCTGCGCTGCGTTGCTGCTGTTAGTTGTGCCTTGTTATGCGCTGCCACGAACTTTGCTTTGGCGTTGCGCGCAGAAAACTGTTTGCCAGTCTCGGCTGTGGACGCCATTATGAATATATGTAAGGCTACGCACCATACAAAAGCATTTCGCGAAAAGCTCACCGAAAGCTCTGCGACAAGCTCTCGCTCACACCCCTTGACAGTTAGCGCCCACACAGTGCATTTCATTTGTCACTAGTGCTATGCTGCTCGCACGCCCAGCTGCTCCTTCAGTTTGGGCTCAAGCTCTCCGCGTTCACTTCGACTTTGTTGTTACTTTTGCAGCTCGGTTTGCGCTTTGTAGACGTCACCAATTTGGTTGACCCGCTGCTAATGCCTCCTACCATATTTTGCATCCCCCTGAATACCATATTCCCCTCGCTCCAAGATGACTATTGTTGCCTATTCTGTCTTGTTTTTTTTTTCGATTGCTCGGCTTGTTGCTCGGCTGCGATTGGCTTATGCTGCGCATTGCCAACATATGGCAGCATACTTTATGTTCTAGATTCATTGCATTTTACAAAACTCAGTACATACGCACTCATATATATGTATGTGTATGCGTACATGTGCGTGTATATGTTTGTGGTTGTGTTTGTGAATTGCTTCTTATGCGAATAATAGCTGAAAAGAGCTTCAACTTTGACCTTCGCCCCAATCTAGTGGCGTATGGCCGAAAGCATGCATTAAGACGCTCAAATGAGAAGCGCTCCAGCTTCAGTCAACTTAAACTGCAGCTTACAGTGTCCCTCAAAGGCCAGTAATTAACATGCATTTCCAGGTAAGTCACATTTAATAACAGCAAATGTACAAAGCATTTAAAACTTTTAAGTATCCATCAACGTCAATGATGAAATGAACATGTTTCTGTGGTATCACAACAAAATGAAAGATTCGCCTTGCAACATTTGAAGCATTTATATGGTTTTTACATGTAAATACAACATAAATACAATATAGAGCTCATCTACAGGCAGACTGCAGACTGTTTTTAAAAATTACTTTATAACTATTTTCAACGAAATTAAATGTATGTTAAACATTTACAAAATCTTTAATATAGGGTGTAAACAACCATTAAATTTGAATGATATTGTATTTGAATTTTAATATTTTGTATATCTAAAGCTTTAGTAAAAACCTAAATCTAATTTAAATTTATTTAAATTAAGCTCTAATTGTGTTGCCTTTTATATTTCGTACAAAACTTAATTCGAATAAAATTGTATAATTTTAAACTGCATTCTGCTTCTAAGCTGCTTTCACACTCCATTGAGCCACTGGAAACTAATCCGGTAAAGGGTATCAGCGATTGCTCTATCAGGTGCAATTGAACCAGCTGCACAAATCCCTATTCGCAAGCATATGGTCTGCATCCTGTCAGCGCGCTGTAAACGATGCAATTAGTGGGATAGCCATTGAGAGGCACTTTGAATTAAAATTATCTTTTAATTGAGCTGCAATTCTAATTACATATTTATCTTAAGACTATATGGATTAAGTTAACGTATACATGTTCAATGACAACAATATCTGAGAAATAGGAAGGCGGGCGAAAGTTTTGCGCATCACATTTGGTATTCGAAAATGGGAAGCCGTTGGAACAGTTTTTTGTGGGCGTAAGCACATTGTCTAAGGCTTTACTGCCGTCTGCCAAAAAGATTGCTCCTTGCTAAAAATACAAACATATAGACACATTAGAAATTGTCTAGATTTTTTACGAATAAGCTGCAGCATTTACCATTCGATGTCGCCGGGGAGAGGACATGGCTGCTGGCGTGGCGCTTAATACGGGGTGTGTCGCTCGAGGATGTGGAGCACATTGTGTTTGTGGAAACCACATTATCGGCTGCCTTGCTGGGCATTGATTTATATCGCTGCAATGAAGTGCGCGGCTTCTTGGGCTGCGTTGCCTCCAGCATGGCCTCGTCGAGGGCGACAAACCAATCTTCAGTTTCGCTCTCATCCTCCAAGAACTTCATGTAGAAGGAACACTGTTTCTCATTCTTTTTCTTGGTGTGGCTGGTGGGCGTGGTCGCAGCAGGCGTTTGTTCTGCCTTCTGCACCTTTGACTCCAGTTGCTGTGAGGCCTCTAACAAAAAACAATCAGTGTCGGAGTCATTGAGGAAATCGGCCAATGCAGGATCCGCAACAGCTTCAATTGCAGCTGATTTTGTACTATTTGTTTCTGTTGCTTCTGGCGCCGCTATTTGTTGATCCAGCTGTCTGTGCAGTTTGTCGCAACGCTCCCTGAGCAGCTCGTGATCACGTATTTGCTGTGCCCGCCACTCTCGGTTGTCCAGCTGCTTGCGTCTGTGCTCATTGGCGGCATCTGCACGAACCTGTTTCCGCCTTTCCCTCCGCTTGTACGCATCTGCTCCAAACTCTTCCGAATCGAAGCCGCTGTCCGAAGTAGTGTTCGCTTTATCTCGACGCCCATTGTTATCGCACTGCCACCGCCAGCTGACTTCCGGACTGCCGGTGACCAGAGTCTGTGAGAACAAGCAGCTAGGCGATAGGCTGCTGTACTGCGAGAAGTCTAGACTGTCGTCTAGCATCTGCATTCTTTTGTGGGGCGGAGTGCTCTCCACATTTTCGGAAATGCTCACATTCGGTGAACAAGGAGAACCTCCATCATTTGCACCTTCCTGAGTTGCGCTGGCGCAAACGCGACTCTGTGGAGAAGCTGATAATGCGTTGTTGAGCGATTCACACAGTTTTTACACAAATAATTATTTTACACTTACCACTGTGTCGCTTTTGCAGTAATCTGCTGCTGAGCGTCAGGGAGCGCCTTTTATTTACAGTCGTTGCGTTATCCATTTTAATGTAATTAGTTCATTAATTTAAAACATCGGCTGACTGCATTAAAAAATGCGCTCCATTCAATGTTTAGTATTTTTTAGCGCTTAGCAGTAATGATATATCGATAGGCACGGTTGGTTTGAAATACTTATCGATATATAGCGGTTTTTAAAACTGAAAATACCATTTGCAGATATGTTACAAAATTCTAGACCAACTATCTATTCACATTTAATAAAATATACTAGCAAGAGGAAAGCCTACTCGTTTGCTTGTTTCACACTGCAGTGTAACCAAATCTATTTTAATGGTATTTGTAGTATTGCAATACCGCTTAGTATTTTTAAACCTAACGCTTATGAGCTGCCAGAAAGCTGATTGCTATATCACCACTACTACCGCCAAAAAATTTTTTAAATTGTTTTAAAAATATGAAGTCATAATAAAAATACCTTTCTTTTTATATTCACACATTTAATTAACAATATTTTATATGTGGTAAATCTGCGATTTATAATTATCGAGACACATTAATATTCGTAAAATTGATACAAATCAGTAGAATGTAACTTTGCATAAATTCGCACTCATTTATAAATTTCAAATAAACAACACAATTTTTGAGGTTCGCAACTTAATAATAATTGCCTTTAAAGACCTTAACAAAAATTTAAATGCAGTTGGAGTGGATAACTATTTTAAACTTACACATATTTATTGTCCAGAGATAACATTGCCTAAATATATCCAATATAAATGTTTGCTCAACTTTTACATTAATTTTCTCTTCTTCTTTGCCTTAATTTGTTCTGACTTACAAGCCCTTGTTATACCAAACCGTATCCAAGTCGGGACGCTCCTTCTTTAGATGATCGCGCACTTCTGGCTCCAGGTCGTTCACTTTGATAGCAGCACGCTGGCTGAAGAACGCGCAGCCCATGGGCGTGGAGAAGATCAGAATAAAGCCGCAGAAGAGCGTTTGAATGGGAGCATTGGATCTGGGGTATTTCTTCAGAAAGCCATTCTTCTCCAGTTTATTCATCAGCAGAGGAGTCAAAGCTAGCAAACAATTATTGATTAGACAGATATTTATATAAAACTTGGGCAAATCAGAAACTTACTCATTCCAGGAATAGCCATGGAGATTCGACTAATCACAACGGCTGAAATGCCCACAAAGGCGGCCTTCTTTGAAACACCCACCTCCTTATTCTTTGCATCCAAAAGTGCAACTCCATTGCGTAGCTCCCTGGGGAAAGTAAACGGTTTTTATGATGATATGCAAATGATATATCCATTATATTTCTATAGTTTACTTACTGCATGCGCATGCAAGGAATATTGATGCAATTAGCGGCTGCTACTGCCACGAGAGGCACCAATCGCCCAAAGATTGGACTCATGTTCTTTACGGCACGGTTGAGGGAGAGCGCTGTTGCTAGGGCGCCGCCCGTTGCCAGACAGTAGGAGGTAATCAGTTGTCTGTATGCATAACAATAATACAAATTGGGCACCGAAATAAATAAGCAATCTTCCCTAGAGAAACCTACGATTGACTAATTGGTGAGGTGCCTGAACGGTTTGTATAGTTGACAATGGCGTTGAACGTTTGATTGAACCACTGCCAGAAGACAACCGCCCGCGTGGTTTTGTAGAAGGTCATCATCCCTAAATGGAAGCAACAACAACATTAACAGTTATTTATTAATCAAAGCGCGGAAACGAATAGTTGAAGGTCTCAAACAAACGCGCAATATAGCCAATATGATTGACAGAGCGGGACGAGGGCCGTAGGCAGGGGGCAGGGGGCAGGGGGCAGTGGGCAGTGGGCCGAGAGTCAAGAGCTGAGAGGGTGGCGTTTACTTACCGGCAGTGATGAATGTGTTCATTGGCATCTGAGCGGACATTCGGCCTACGATTATCTGTTTCTCGCCGGTCTCCGGGTGGTGAGCCGAATCGTATAGATACTTCGCCCTCCACACCTCGTCGATAGACTTGACATCAGGCAATGGCTGATTGGCACGGTACTTGGTGACGATATCACGGGCCCTCTCCAGTTCCTCATTGGAGGCGAATAAGTTCAGAGGATTGGTGACCAAAAAGAAATGCTTGGCACGCCCGAAATAGGTGCTCTGATCGAATTTCGGCTGGTCAATGTCCACACGCGGTAAATTCGACATTGTGTTCGGCTAACTGGTACTGCCTTATGCTTATTGAATTGTTGTTAAGATATGTATGCACAATGCTGCGGAGATAGGCAATTGATATCCAAATCACATTAAATACACTCGCCACAATTGAAAAGAACTGATAACATAATTAATACACTTATCTCCATCCCCCAAGCACGCTAAGAAATTAAATAAACACAACGGCTATACGCTTATCAACAGTTCGGCTGACCCATTGCTAATCTCCCGCAAACAAGCGTCAACTTAATGTATGTATGTATATCAATATGTATGTAGGTATTTATATGTTGTATGCATATTATACTACTAGAATTACTCGTCAGCGATTATGCAGTAAATACAAATCAAAATATTAACTGCGTTACATAATTACTCTAGGCCATCATAAATAGGTGCAATATTGAAAAATCCATAAATTCTTATCGCTGTGTGTCGGGGACACAGCTGAGTTCAGTATTAACAAATTCTTTTCTCCACCCAACCAGCTGGAGAACAGGTTGCGACAGCAACACTTACACATACGCCGATTGAATGTTAACGAGGGAGAGAGAGTACGTGAGTGCTTGGAGATTGCGGTTCTTCAACTTTACACTCAAACGCCTACCACACACACACACACAGTCACACGTATCCAGAAAGGCCACTTCCTAGCACTTTGGCAGTGAACTTACGACTGAAACGCAGAGCGCAAACTTCAGCACCGTGGTGGCTGCCGCAGAAAGCTGCCTTCAATAAGCTGCAGCTCCAGAAAGCTTTCTATACCCTCCGGTTGAGCCTAATAGCTGTGCCAAGCTATTCGCCAAAGTACTGACCGACAATAAAATCAATAAATTTAATAACTGTAAAAAAAAAAAAAAAAAATGTAAGCCTACTTGATAGAGCGTAGGCATTATGGATGTGTATTTATATGATAATTCAATTATTTGTATTTTAGAACAATCTTATGCCAAATAATATAATATTCCTACATTTAATTAGGATACATTGGCGAGAAATTCAATGGGAAATTGAAATGCATATTGAATAATATAATTTTAGAGATATATTTATTACTCTAATCTATATGCCGATATTAAATCAAATTAATCTGAATCGTGCCCAATACATTCAAGCAATACACTATGTATATTAATGGAAATAAAATATAGCGTATTCAACAATCAGCATTGCTGGCATAACATTCTAGACATGAATTCTTTCTTCTGCTTTTTGTTTACCTTTCCATTGCGTGAACGACGCTGCCGTCAGAGTGAGAGCGAGAGAGAGCTTTCTTGGTCTGCGCAGCTTATTAACAGTTGGGCTTGTACGCTGCGAAAGCTTTTAATATAGCCTGTTGGGCCGTTACTGAAATGTTGAATGCAAGTTGACTTACACATCACCTTCATTAATATATGTATGTGGGAGTAGATATACAAATGTAACTTAATACAATATCTATTACTGACGGCACGTGTATCCTAACTTCTTTGCGACATATGTATACATATAGATGTGGCTATATAAATATTTATTGTTATATTTCAAATAAATCCGTATACTTTTTTACAAATTAAAACGAGTATATTGGGTTTTGTACTATAACACCGTTTCAATTTGAAATATATACTCGTATATAATACATAATTGTTTGATAAAAATCATTTATATTTTAAGGATATCTTAGGGGCATATCAAATCGTAAATAATTATATATAGTTTTTAATAAGAAAAACAAGTTTGAATCGTAAAAAATCGGAGAAAAATGTATCAACAGGTTTTTAAATCAGGTAAATTGATATCTGATGTACCACTTGGAAAATCGGAATTGATTTAGGAAATAATAAATATGAACAATTTGTTATATTTACATTTACCTTTTCTGTTAGTCGTATATTAATCCCTCGGCTCCACACGACCGTAACTTTTCTACTTGTTTATAATTAATTATTTTATTTATGGGTAATTTGATGATTATGACTTACTGACCTGACAATTCGAAACTCATTTATGCACTTGCGTGTGTATATTCATTTATTTTTGAAATCCATTAATAGACTAAACATAACATCAACAGTTGTGTATATTAGCAATAGTTATTATGTTACTTCTTTCACAAATAAATGTAATTATTTGTTTGTCATCATTAAATATTTGTCATATCAATAAATAAATATTTATGCATATGTTTGAAGAATCTCTTAAGTGTTTGCAAACAATTATAGTCATAGTTAACACAAATGATAGTTGTATATAATAGCATAGATGACATTTATTGTACATTATTGTAGGTATGTATATATATATATATATATATATATATATATATATATATATATATATATATATATATATATATATGTGTGTGTGTGTGTGTGTGTGTTTAAAGCGTGTGTGTGTTTGTGTATTTGTCTTTCATTTAAGTCCTTTAACTTTTCCACTTCAATATTATTTAGTTACATATATATAACTATTTATATGCATACATCATTCATATACAATATTTGCACAAAGTAACACGAAATATATAATTGATTTGATTTCATTTGATTTAGTTTGAAGACATTTAAAAGTAAAATTAATAAAATATTTCATATCTGGGTAAATACGTTTAATAACTATATTTCAACTGTATTTTTCCATTTCGATATTTTTTTGTTAAATTTAAATTGAGCTTCTAATTGAAATACTTAACGATCTTGTCAACAATTAAGGGTTAGTTCTTTGTATATGTTATGTTATTTTGATGTATGACATATTAGCTATGTATGCATAGGTTTTCTAGCATATCAATCAAATGTCGATTCGAAACTCGGATTGTTCTATTTACTGGTAACACATTAAACAATTAACAATTTTTTACGTTTGCCAATATGCGTTTAGTATATGTAGGTATAGTATAGGTATGTTTGCATGTATGCATGTCTTTATGTATGGTATACA